CATTATGGATTATCCCCTGGTAGTGTTTGTAACTGGGCAATAAGTTCCTTTATTGATTTAATTTTAACCATTTTCATAATTAATTTAAATTAACCATTCAGTTAAAACATTTCAACTTTCCAGACGCAAATGTTGAAAAACGGGACAGAAATAAAATATCTTACAAGACATAAACATGTAAAAAATAAATATATATTTCAGCTTACTAAAAATATTTTCATAATGTTACTTTGACATCATTTCTTAAAACTAAGTCCCAAACATAATTGCTCAGTTGACATGTGTCATCCTCATGCGATACGAGATAACTATAATTCTGATGCAATCCCGAAAAGGGGGGTCATCACAAACAAACATGACATAAAATTGTCATTATACGAACTAGAACAAACAGCTCTATGTTGCTTTGATATTTATCAATTTTCAGGAAACATGTGAAATAAATTTCAGGTCCATTTCATTATAGTGCCTAACAAGATTGTGTGAGGTAGACGAAATTGACCTTAAAAACGATCGTATTGTCTTTTGATGTCCAAAAATAGGCAGATCGGACATATAAGGACTTTATCTAATGACTACATAAATTTGGGATTTATTATTATTATAATATTCTAATGAAACTGAAAATTGTATTTTTTTTTTAGGATAAACAACAATTTTACCTGGCGTAGCCGTTCATAAATGTTTTTCTGCATTTATCTTCGAAAAATGGCGTATTTAATGGAATAGAACGTTAATACAGTAAACTTTCTCTTTTTTCTCCGCAATAGGCTATCAAAAATAATTTATCTAATGTGTATGTGGAAAATTATGTGAAAAGATAAAAAGTGGCAATTGTTACCTTTCATACCTTAAGTTTCGTTCATCTGATTCTGACCAATGCTATTATACTAAATATCTATTTATATGCCGCTATTATTGTTGTTGTTACCAATTATGTAAATCAATTGTATCTGATTTTATGCCCTTTATGGGCCCTGTAATTTGGGAAATAAAAAAAAATCTATTCATTGATAAAACGTAATATGGACTGGTCTAGTGTCCAGTTTGCAGGTCATTTAATTTTCTGTACGTATTAGATACAATACAAAGGTAACAAAGAAACAGGCCGGTAACAACCGTTGCCGGATAGTTTTTCTGCACGAGTAGTCAGGTCAAGGTCCGAGGCGATAGCCGAGGACCTTGACCTGACTACAAGTGCAGACAAACTATACGGCAGGTTGTTTCCGGCCTGTTTTTTGTTACCTTTGTTTTGTATCTGACTTGTACGACGTTTCAAGAAGGAAGAAGTACATTTTGCATTTAGAAGAGGTAGCAAAACTAAAGATATTAGAAACTTAAATGGCCATATACCAGTTAATGTAAGTTACAGTTTAAACTCAATTTTTTTTCTCACTTCCCTTCAGCCGAGAGTTTTTTCTCAAAAAATTCAAGAATCTTATAACTTTATAAAAAGAACCATTTCAAGTTAAAAGTGAATGTTATACACATTTGAGACTTTTTGAAATGCAACTTCGCAAGTAAGTAATGTATAAAAAAGATTTCAGAGGTAAGCAAGCTACCATTTGATTTTATTGGGGGGGGGGGGGGGGGGGGGGGGGGTAAAATAAATTTAAAATAAACCGGCTTCATCCTTTTTTTGTTGAAAAAATGCAGGATGTGCCATGTCCATGTCTTGTTATTATATATATATATATAGGCATATGTTTTGGCGTCAAAAAAAAATGTTCATACTTATAGGTTTTTATATGTCTCTGATAGTGTTGATCAGGATTAAACACGTGTCACTATATGATCCAATCAGAGCTTACCGTCCAAAATTGATGACATAAGTTGAATGATTTTCTTTACGATTTGCTGCATATTTGAACATGTATTACACGGACACTTTTTATTTATAGGATCAATCGTGCATTGGTGAGTTGATAGGGATTTTATCTTTTGATTAGATTTGATTTTTATATATATATTTCCTGTCTTTTTATTGAAATATAAACGTTGGTACCAGCATTTCTTTCAGCATTGTCCAGAATACTATTCATGTCCATATATTAAAAAAAAATACATTTACGGACCGACCATTTAGCTTCAAAAGGGGGTGTGTTCTTTTCTGAGTAAGAAAATTATTTAGTTTTTCAACGCTATCGCCCAAATATTTTATTTTTCGAAATCAGCACTATTATATACGGTATTCGGAAAATCAGGAGCCAGAACATTATTTTCAGTGTCATCTGCTTGACCATTATATATTTTTTCTCATAAAATTGGGGATCAAAATGTGTTTTTTTAGGAAAAAACCATAACCGGCCTTTTGAAGTTAAATGGTCAACCCCTTAGTGTACTAATATGAATAGTTACTGGAATTGTTTGAAAAAAAATATAGTTATTGATGCTAACGTAAATATTTTTAATTAAAAAGACAGGAAATATGTCGGTGAAACAAAAAGTTCAAATCTAATTGAAATTTAAAGTGCCCATGAACTCACTGATCATGCACGAGTGATTCTATTCATAAAAAGTGTCCGTGTAACAACAAAAAAGTGTCCGTGTATCATCTAAAAAGTGTCCGTGTAACACCCGTTAATGTACTGTTTTTCTATAGCTCTGCTGGGGGCAAAGTCGTACAAACATTCATGCACGCTCTGATTTAATCAATATACTCGTACGAAAAAGCATGAACAGTTTGAAGGTAATCTAATAATAACTTAATCCAATCAAATTGCATAAGATTCAATAACAATGTCAAGTCCACATCATAATGAGTAATAGAGGTAAACTGGGTAGGGAGAAAATGACAGATATTTCAAGTTAATATTTATGCAATAACGATTTAAAATTTGTCAACCAAAAGTTTTGCTACAATTTCAAAAACATGTCGTTCTGTATGGGTATAGTTTTCGGATCTTTCATTAGCGTATTTAAGGCTATAAAAAGTTTGGGCTTCAAAAGTTCACACAATTATTGACTTTATACAGAAAATTCGTCCTTGTAAAACATTTAATAGTTCACAAATGATACGCGATTTTAAAGTAAAATTATTTCTTAAAACACTGCAAAAAATTTCATTCATATTGATAAAGTGGTATCGTCATAAAGTGCGTTGAAATGAACAGTGGTATAGCAAACATCGAATTCCCTCACAAAATGTTATCACACACTACAGTGAGGGGAGTCAGTTAAGTTTGTCTATTTTTAGATACTATACAGGTAATCTTTTGACACTACGTATACAACCTGTGTGACCTGTGTAGTGATTTTGATTTTACGATAAATTCATGAATGAACGATAATTTTATGAATGAACATGAGCACCTGACCTCTTTCTTAAACACCTATTAAACATATAAAACCGTATTTAATAAGGAGATAATTTAGTCAAATTTTCAGTAATAAATCAACAACTGAAATGATTCCATTTTTTGATGAAACATCGTACGAACGGAGAACGGAATCGCACGTATAAAAATGCACTTTTTTCCCTTGTAATGACCGCGGATCTATAATTTTTATAGATCGGTTGAAATCCCAAAACTAATTTGCATAATGGAAATTTAGGCGATAGCAATACATCGGAGTGACCCCAAGGTCATCCTCTGTAAAAATCAGATTGAAGAAAACGGAATTGACAATGTGTGCAAAGGAAGGCGAATACGCTAACACTGTGTATACTATCAAGGTTGGTTTGAGTATAGAAATTGACAACCTGGACTTCTCCTGTCTCGTAGAAACAGCCATTCTGTTAGACGTATATTTAAATTTTATAGCGGACTATGCGATGTGGGTTTTGCTCGTTGTTGAAGGTCGCACGGTGACTTATAGTTGTCAACTATTATGTCATTTTGTCTCTTGTGGAGAGTTGTCTCATTGGCAGTCATACCACATCTTCTTATTTTTATACTTTCATATTTTCAGTCCCGTCCGATGTTTAACCTTTTCATCAATCTTTAAAGGCAAAATTTCTGGTCCTATCCGACATGTCCTTTTCCGTGATCCCTTCAAACGAACGCTGTGCCAACAGAATCTAACAGATTTATTGATTATTAAACTTTTAATCGTCACGAACATGTATGAAATATTTGGAACTGGACGAAATTAAACAACTGTAAGTCACTTGTGGCAGTTCGACGGTGAGATGGAAATCTGTATAATTAATTCGCTAGCCATCGAATCTTAAAACCATTTGACTAAGCAGTTCGTCACCACTCTAATTTATATACCGCATTGAATGGCGTCATTTGTTCATTTTTCATTTTTCAAAATTCTATAATGAATAATAATACTTAACTGTTTGTATTTAATGCAACAAATAATTATACTATCAGACACAGAAATAAATTTGGAGCTTTCAAAACGCCTTTCTGGATTTACTTTAATCTTTATTCGATTCACTGACGGACTTTACTGGACAACACGTTGATTGAATATTGTAAGCGTAGCGCACAACAGCAGCAAATATATCATGCATTTCCAGGACGAGAACAAATTACGGTATAAAGTTAAAACACTTGTGTTTTGCAATATATTTTTTGCCATTGTTGTCTTATTGTTTGTGTAGAAAATTTGGATTGTCACTGAAAAAAGAACTTGATATTAGAAATAAATGTTTCCTGCAATTGACCAACAAATGCAGAATACTACACTCTCTGATTAAGAAGCATTATATTAAACATGACATTTTGATGGAAAATTAATGCATGTCAGAAAAAATCAAAAGGGCGACCTCTCAGAGCACTAGCACAGTCTTACTGCCGTACTGTATAAATCACGGTTACTATACATGTGTCTATACCCTGACCACAAATGGGACAAAAGACAACAGGAAAGAAAGCAAACATGTTTTGGAACTATAACCCGGATCTAATATAGTCAAATCATAAGTTTTAGGTTTGTACTTTTAAAAGTTTGGTTTCATCATTCTTTCGTGTTTATTTCTTTGTTTCGATCATACCCTTTTACGTTCATTTCCGTTTTATTACTATTACTATTTTGACAAGAAACTGTTGAAGGTACAAGTATAATTTATTGTAGAAACACATGCATATTTAAGATATTTCGTCTGGTAGTATATATGTTACAGTGAATTTGTAAAATCAGGGATTTTGTAAAATCCCTGAAATTTCAGGGTTTTTGTATAATCACTGAACTGTTTAGTGATTTTATAAAATCCCTGATTTTGACTAGGGATTGTACAAAATCACTGAAATAATTACGATCTTTTTTACAGATTCCCTGATTGAATTCAGTGAATTTGTAAAATAAATAATTCTTTTTGATTAAACAATTCTTTAAAAAAAAAGTCTACAGCAGTTACACTAAACAAGTTTGAGGTTAATTTAGTACTATATACTTAATACTTAGTGAACAATTTTCACAAAACAACTGACATACTGTAGAAAAATGACTCGGGCACATATGTCTTTAAATCAAGAGCAAACTTATACCCAAAAATTACTTCAAATAATTGAGGGAAAAATTAAAATGTAAAATATTGAACCAAGAAAAATATGAAGAAATTTTAAAACCTTTTGCTAAAAATCCACAGAAAGAAGACAAAACAAGCTCTTTATTATTACCTTGTTCGAAACTAAGTTAAAGTTTATTATATAGTGCTTCTGTAATTACTTAAAAGTATAAACCAAGTATGTCAAATTTTATAATCAAATACAAAGACAAACATTGGAGTCATTGCCGTAATGAGAGGAGAAAAACACATGGAAAAAGTAAGAAATTGATTTGTCACAGTGATCCAGTGGCAGATATTACATGCATATCGGGACGAGAGTATCTTTTTGTGACATGAAAATTAATATATAAAAAGCAAATAAGTGTTGTATTATTAATTTTCAGCCTATAAAAGACATATATATCCACAAAATATTAATAGTAAAACAAATAGACAACATATAAGTATAGGTAAAAATACTTTGTTTTGTACTTGCATTTCTTACTTTGGTCATATCTCAGATACGGCCTTATACATGTGTTCATTCATAGAGTGATAAAAGATTAAATAAGTTTTTATACTTTCTTCACTCTTTAGATTCAAATCAAATTACAAGTAAACATTTGTTTGATGTAGGTATACAGTTTTTCAATGTAGAGATGTGAAAAAAAACTTTAAAAAATGCCGGGCATTCATCAGATAACGATATCAAATCTTAAGCAAAAATAAGTAAAATTGTAGTCCTACATTTAACAGCTCATATATTTTTATTATTCATAGTCACTGTAAAATAGTTTTAACTAGTATTATTTATTAAAATTCAAAATCAAAATCATTGTTTATTTGTATTATGAAAAACACATTCCTAATATCAAGTTCAAACTTGCAATCAGGGATTTTACAAAATCCCTGGCAATATTTTCAGTGATTTTACAAAATCACTGACATTTTCAGGGATTTTACAAAATCACTGAAACTGTTAGTGGTTTTACAAAATCACTAATTATTCTAGGGATTTTTCAAAATCACTGATTTTACAAATTCACTGTAACATATATATATATTGGACAGAAATTAAGACACAACGTTGATGCTCCATCTCATTCGGCATCCTCCTCCACGCCTATCTGTATCATCACGGTAAGCTCTTGTGTATGAGTTTGCTCTCGCACACAAGAGCCTTGGAGCACCTCCTCCACACTGTCCACCATCACCGTCTGGATACCACTGATAGCAAAGCTCAGCATTCTGAATCCACAAAGGAGCACTCGTTGGGACAGATAACTTCCACTGCATTTGACAACCTCCACCTCTTCTATCTGTGTCATCTCTATAGTAACCAGTGTAAGAATTTACATTGGCACAGAGAAGTCTTGAAGCACCACCTCCGCACTGCCCACCATCACCATCGGGCCACCATTTATAACAAATCTTAACATTTCTAAACCAATCGTCGTAGCCATTCGACATAATACCCCACCTCATTCGACATCCACCTCCACGTCTGTCGGTATCATCCCTGTAGTAACCTGTCCATTGGTTGACATTTGCACAAAGTTGACGTGCAGCTCCTCCCCCACATTGACCCCCGTCACCATCAGGATACCAGTTATAGCAAAGTCTGGTATTACGGAACCAGTCTGGAACAACTGTTGCAGTCTCTATGGTATTTGCAAGTGTCGCAACTGCATTGTGGTCTGGTAAGCTTTGTTGTAATAGCGCATTTACTTGGTTCTTGTAGTTATTCAGAGCACTTCTATGTTGGTCCCATTTTCCACTTGTGTAATACCATGCAATAATTCTGAGTAGTTCTTCCATGTATGCTTTATCCATATAAACCTATTAAGAAAAATATTACCACATCAATGTCCTTAACAGGACCAGAGTGAAAATTTGTTAAAGATGCATTAGCTACGATTTATAGACAATAAAACAAATTATAAAATAAAATGAATAAAAGCGGAATTCTTAAGGGAACGACCATTTAATTTGAAAAGGGGGGAGAGGGCTATGGTTTTTTCTAAAAAAAATTATGCTGATCCCCATTTTGTAATTACGATATTCGTTTTAGTATGTTTTTGTATTAAGAAATTTGACATATTTTGGACCTCCTCTCTTTCCTCAACCATAACCCTTTAAATTAAACAGGTACCGGTAGTATAAAATATGTAATAGTTATCCCACGAGGACGCGGTGTGTCAATGTAAGATCATCCCGATGGCCGGAGGCCAGAGGGTGATCTTACGCTGACACACCAAGTCCGAATTGGATAACTATTTTACATCCCAGCTGTTCTAGATTAGATAAAAAAACATTTACGCTTCATAAAATCTAGTTTAGAACGCCACACAATCCTTATAATATACTTCATATATCATTATATACCCTTATGAGCCCCGGACACAATGTTTGTTAAATATGTTAACAGTGAGTTTGTATCCCGTTGTCCTGGTGTAGGGGTTTATATCGTGGGTTTATATGCTAAAGGTCTTGAGTTCGAATCCCAGCATTTTTTTTTATACATAAATTTTGATAGTTAGTCTTTTCCGTATAAATATGTCTAAGTTTTATTGTGGATTTGACATTCCCGCCAAAACGTTACAGAACAAAGGAAAGCATGTAAAACAAAGAAACTCAAGCTAGGGTGATCTGGTAGGGGTGATCCGGCTCAGTCCTGGTAGAATAAAGGAGCTGGGATGTAATGTCAAGGACACATGCCTCGTATAAGTAAAATTTCGATGGCAAATGTTGAATGTATTTAAAGGATCATGGTTGAGGAAAGGGAGGGGGGTCCAATTAATCTCTATTGAAGTGAGATGACACAAGACAAAAAGCAATGAACAAGAATTGCTACCCAACTACAAATATGCTAGGACTCTTACAAGTACCTGTATGGCTCTTTTCATTGACTGTCGTTTGCTACTGTCAGCAATCATTCCAGATATTTCCGTCAAACTCCCGCCAAATAACCAAGGATTTCCTGCTACAGTAGGTTGCCATGCTGATATTCCGTTAGTTACTATTAAATTGGTACTGCCTCCATAGTATCTACAATTATAATGAGGGTGTGTATAGACAATTGACATCATATTATTGTTATCCATATATGTTGCATTTTAGTGTTCAGTTTTAGTTTGTAACCTGGATTGGTTTTTTCTCAATCGATTTATGAATTTCGAATAGCGGTATACTACTGTTGCCTTTATTTATGACATTTTCGCGCTCAGTCAGTCAATCATTATTTAAAATATAATTACACCTTTTATGGTCACCAAAAAAGGTGTAATTAATTGGTCATTTTTTAAATGTAATGAAAGTTAAAGGCCAAATGGATACGGTAAGTTGTATAGGGAATCTTGCCAAGAAGTCTGGTCCGTATGCATAAAGCTACTTAAGGTAAGATTTGTTCCGAACGGACGAATTTTTCTACATGTCCTATGATAAATTAGTACTACTATTGGATATCTTATCTTAAGGTGGTACCTAACACTACAGGGAGATAACTCTGTAAAAATCAGCTAAACGTTTTAATTAAGTTGTATTGTTAAGGAAATATTAAGCTTCTCAATGATCAAAATTAGTGTTTGTCAAACTGCTATATAACCAATGAAATTTTTCTGATAAAGTGGTTGGTTCAAATTTTTTGAAATTTTTATATTTTTGTCAAAGGGTCAAAGTAAAATTTTGTCAAAATTTTATCAAAATTAAACGAGCCAAATTAATATTACTCAAGGTGTTGGGTACCACCTTAAGTGGTTTTATGCATATCAGCCTTTCGTAACAAGAGAGGATCGGAATGTAATGTTGTTTTCGTATCAAGACAGGATCGGAATGTAATGTTTTTTTTTCATTACAAGAGAGACAGAAGTTGAAGTACTGCGATGAAATAAAGCGGTGATACAGATAACAAACTCTTAATTAAAAAGGTCGTTGGGTTGATCTCTAATAGACGTATACTCAACACATGACTACCATGATATTAATAATGATACAAGACAGACAAGTCAGGCATGGTATTCCCACGCCCTTTCAACTATAATTGCAAAAGAATGAAGACAATATGATTTTCCAAAATGAAAAGACCCTAATGGTGATTGTCTAGTATGCATAGACTGAGTCTCATAACATTTAGAGTAATAAGTATTTTTTTAATCATTGTAAAATAATTATAACCATGTAAAAATTAGAAGAAGTGGTATGATTGCCGATGAGACAAATCGATCTCCATCAGAGACCAACTGACGTTGAAGGTAAGCAACTGTAAGCCAACGGGCCTCTCCTACAATGAGGAAAAGCCATACAGCATTTCAAGCTATAAAAGACCCAAAAATTACCAATGTGAAACAATTCAAGCTAGAAAACTAACGGCCTGACTTATGAACAAAACAGTAAACGAATAACAAATATGACATACAGCAACTGCTGAATTACAGGCTCCTGATCACTTTGGACAGGCAAATACAGAATGTGGCGGGTCAAACATGTTAGCGGGCGCTTCAACCCTCCCTTAACTTTGGAAAGTGGTGTAACAGCACAAGATAAGAACAAACTATAAAAATCAGTTGAACATGTTGAAAAGGGTTTAACTCATCCAATCGATAAAAAAAGCAAAAACAACTACTAGTAACGATAAACAGCTGCGCCACAAGCCCGTCGCCTTTTCTAAGAATAAAGTTCCATTACTCCTCAATTTCATATCAGAAATGTATAAAAGAAAAGACCAAAGGAAGATTATTCTAATTGATATCAACCAGTCAACAAAGTTTCATGAAAACATTTTTGGGAGTTATTGTCCGATAACTGGAAAATCCCCCTTTTTTATGAATAAGATCCAATTACTATGAAACCTAAAATCTAAAATTTATAAAAATTGAAAGGGAGCTTACGTTAATAGATATAAACAATTCATTAAAGTTTCATAAAAATTGATTAAAGCGTTTTTGAGTTATTTTCCGACATGTTGTCGATGGACGGACGGACGGACAACGGTATACCAATAAACGTCCCGTTAAAGGGCGTATAACAACACAAAAGACACAAAGTATAGATCTTAGATTACTGACAGTTACTGAAAGCTAGTTCAAAACCAATAAATACTTATTTAAAAAATCAAGTTGTATCTAAGACTAAAATATGTACTGTTCTAACCTGTGTTCAGCAGGTAATATAAATTCACAAAGATGTGTAAGATGTACTGCAAAAACAATAATACAAATCGCAAGGTTCTGAAAATAAATTAATTTTTGTATTTACATTATGTACCATTGGTTTTGTTATGTTTCGTTTGTAGGTCATTAAAAATAACTTGCACGTACGTTACTAAAAAAATAAACAATGGCAAGTTGATTACCTTACACTTTTCCTCGTAGCTCTTGTGAACGCCTCATCTACCGTTTGTCTACCAGACGAACCTCCGCCGCCAAGTTTTATAATGTTAAAGAATGTAGCACTAGCTTGTGCTTCAACTTGACTGTCAGTTTTGCTATGATAGTAGCTTTCGTCCGTAGCAAGAATCAATCTGAGAAGACCTCCGAATTTACCCTGGTTGAAGTAATGTGTTCCAAATGTATGAATAAATCTCATATATTGCGAAGTTGAGGTGTCATTAAAAGTTTTTGGGAGGAAGCGCTCGATGTACATTTTTGCAACTCTACCAAATTCTAGTGCCCAATCAGGCATCATATTAATCTTGTACCCAGATGTATATGACGTCACTTCCTCTATGTACTTGGACGAGTTTGTTATGTAATCTTGAACTTTCTTGTATGATCCACTCGCAGAAAAAATGCCTTCTCCATAACCAACATCAACCTTTCTGCCCATAGATTTTTTAACAGCGTGGCTAGTTTTATGGATTTCGATATTTGAAGAAAGCCACCCTGTTGGAATGTTCACTACACTCCATACTTGGTCTGGGATATTATACTGAACCTGAATTTAAAAAAAAAATATTCCAAATGAAAAATATCATTACAAATTATATATAACGGAAAAAGAAAATAACGATACAACTGTATATGATAACCAATCTACAAAACTGAAGTAAGAAATATAACCATTAAAAATGGTTTCTAAACGTCTTATAATAGAATAGAATTCATAACAGCGTGGATGCAAACACCGGGTATTTAAACGTGATCGTGTTTGTAACACAGATATCACGCAATTACAGTCTGCCAGAGGCCTCTCAGATGTACATTGTTACTTTCTATACACATTTCCATTCATAAAATAAAAGTTTTTGCATAAAAGTTTATAGGAATTTGGTTAAATATGATTTATATAATTACACCAAAACTTTTTTTGGAAAGAATGAGTATATTCAGAGGTGATATAATAAAATAATCGAGATCATGTTTTCTTAAGAGAGATACGAAAAATCTGTTCGTACGAGTTGAACATGTAAGAGCAACCTACGATCAATTTTCATCCCGGAATGATTGTTTTTCTGTAATTAATACCCCGGACCTTCATACAAATCATTTTAGTCCTCTGGACTAGATAATTGTTTGCACGCATCAAATTTGAAGTCACATTGAGGACTCCAACGATCAGATTTTCTTGAACATTTATCATGCTAACAAAATTAAAATATCAAAAAGCAAAATAGTCAAAAGATAAAAAAAGAGATAATACCAACATCTAAAGAACAGAATAGTTAAAAAAAAAACCATCAATAATAGAGCAAAGAATACAAATTTAAAAAACTACCAACATACAGACCCTCATAAATTTATAACAGAAAGATAAATGCGTGGTAATTTTAAGAACAATCAATGCGATTCTTCTCATATTTTTTAAACCAAGAAGTACTGAAATTTCACATATCACCAACAGTTATGGGAAACAAATTTAGAATTTTGTATTTCAGCTCAACTAAGAATTTTAAATGGAAGAACTTTAGAAGATTCAAAAGGAAAAGTTACATTTTTAAATCAAAATGGAATTTCTATTTATGATTATTTTATCTGCAGTTCTGGGTTCCTGTCCAGTATCAAGAATTTTACAGTTGATAATTTACAACCAACAGTATCACACCATTGTCCAATAACAGTATATATTTTATCCCAAATAGATAAGCAACAACATGAACACATAAAAGCACCTTTAAAGAGCATATAATGGACTAATGAATGCTAAAGTATATTTAATTCAAATCTATCAAAAAATGATTTCCAATCAATTAATTCTGAATTGGATAGTCTATCAGAAATTCCAGTTCAGAATAATTTGGTGTCTGGTATGGAACAGAAAATTGATACAACAGTGTTAAATAAGTCATCTTTGTTAATTAATGTTTTAAAGGAAAAAATGTCAGGTATAGAAAACCATATACCAGCAAAATATTTAACATTTAAATTACACTGTGGTCAGATTGTTAAGGGATACTATACTGCGTTGTGGTAAAAACAGCTAGATATACATAAAGATGGTAAACTACAAACTTAATATGTAACATTTAAGTGTAGTTTTGGTTTTGAAAATTATTTTTCAATAATGCGACTTTTTGAGCGTCAAACTTTAAATAAAAAGGAAACTCAAGAAGAACGACTACAAAGAGTAAATATAGAAAAGTAAAGAAACCCTACTATGACAATGAATGTGAGGTCCACTTCAGAGCTTTAAAACATCAAACCAGAAAACTTTGTAAAGAACCCTGGAATAAACCACTAAGATTAGAAGTAATGTAAAAAAAAAGTATTAAATAAATTAATAAGGAAAAAATATAGACAATTTAGAAACAGAATGCTGACTAAGCTCTTAGAATCAAATAATACTACAGATGATTTTTGGAAAACTATTAAAACTTAAAAAAAAGAAAGAAATCAATGACCCTAGTTCGAATATACAAGCTAAAGAATGGTTTGAACACTTCTCATTTTGATGTGAATTCATGTATTGGTAAAGATGTTTTAAGTATATGTAAGAGAATGATAATCCCTTTCTTCATGAATAAGTACGAGCGTTAGCGAGTACTTATCATGAAGTAAGGGATTATCATTATCTTACAAACTTAGAATATTGTAAAGTGCTCAAGGCTCAAATGATCTATTCAAGAATTAGTTTCATTGTCAGTGCAATGTTTATAATTGATGCATGACTTCCTTTTTCGACATGTCATTTATGGATAAGTTTTAGTGATGTGAGGACTTTCTTATCATTTGGAAATATTTTAAAAAAAAATGCGTTATAGATATTAGGTGACACAACAGTAGAAAGAAAAGGTAGGAATTGTATGTTTCCTGATTGTGAGTATGAATGTAAATCATGTAATATTTTAGTGAGGAATTATCCTTTTTTATTTACAGTTTAAATCAATTAATACATTTGAGTTACAACTAAATTTTATTTCACAGCCAATAAGATTTAGGTTATTTTTTATCTGAAAGATTTTTTTTCTTTTTTTTGCATTGCTTTGGTATTGTTTAATTTTATAGTAATTTGAAGTTATTAATATTTTCATAATAAAATTCACGGTACCAATTTTACTGCACCAGTAAACATCAACTTATTTTGAGATTTTTGTTTGTTTCACAATTTAACTTTTAGTCAGTTTCAATCACTGTGTGATAAATCCTTTCAATCTGATAAATGTGCTTCGGGGCAATTGTAACTCATTTATAGAAACTCTTTCTTTTGAACTGTAAATAGACCCAACTAATAGATAATCCCTTACTAAGAACATGATTTACATTCATTCTTCACAATTAAGAGGCATCCAATTCTACAATTTCATTGGTCGAGAGTACTTTGCTATATTCTAAATTACTATAACAAAGATTTAAATGTTAGGATTACAAAGAAGGAAGTGCTGCTTGCCATGAAATATTTGAAAAACAAGAAATCAAGTAGATCTGATGGTATAACAAATGAAATGTTGAAAATCTCTTGTATGATGAATGTTGAAATGTATGTAAAACTATTTAACGTAATATTACATTTTTCAGGAATATATCCTTCTGAGTGGAGAGAAAATTTTATTAAACCCATATTTAAATGGGGATGTTTTAATAACCCTTTAAACTACAGAGGTATAGCCCTTTCTAGTTGTTTAGGAAAATTTTTCTCTAGAGTTCTATATAATCGTTTAGAAAAATATTTAGAATCAAATAAGATTATTTGCCAGGAACAGATAGGATTCAAAAAAGGCTGTAGAACTAAAGACCATATTTTAACATTAAAAACTATTATTGATAAAGCTTTTAAATCTTCAAAAAAAATATATGGCTGCTTCATTGACTTTAAAAAAGCTTTTGACACTATGAACAGAGAAGCCCTTCTCTACAAACTTTTTACATATAACATATAGGGTCCTTTTTGTGAAATCTTAATAGATATGTATAAAGAAGTTCTATTTGCAGTTAAAGTTCCTGGTGGTATTACTGAATTGTTCCCATCTATAGTTGGGGTAAAACAAGGGTGTATTTTAAGACCTTCTTTATTTACTCTTTATATAAATGACTTAACCTCCCATTTTGATAATACATGTGATCCTGTTACTTTACACGATATAAATTTAGCCTGTCTTTTATATGCGGATGATTTAGTATTAATATCTGAATCCGCAAATGGATTGCAAAATTGTTTAAAACAAGTTAAATGGATACTGTAAGAAATGGAACTTAACAGTCAATGTTGACAAGACATAGGCAATGGTATTTTAAATTAATAAAAGTGGGAAAAAAATTGTAAAGGATAAGTTGACTTTTAATAATAAATTAGTTGAACATTGCACAGAATACAAATACTTAGGAATACTATTTAAGCCATCAGGAGTTTTTAATTATGCAGTAAATCTCCTGAGTAGAAAAGCCTTAAAGGCATTGTTTTGTATAAAGAAAATGCTTTATTCTGATAAAACAGACATTTTTTCTCATATGAAACTTTTTGATTCATGTGTTAGTCCAATTGTACTTTATTGTAGTGAAATATAGTCTCTTAATATTGTAAAGAACAACAAAACACTTGAGTCACAATATTTATCAATGGAATCAGTAAAACTTCAAATAAAACTTGCAAAGAGTCTACTTGGAGTTAACTCTAAGGCTGTATTAGCGGAATTAGGAATGTTCCCTATTAGAATTCAAGCTCTTATGTCTTCTCTAGGATTCTAGCTGCATATTTTAAACTCAAAAGAGTCTTTACTTTATAAAGTTTATAAAGTTTACCAGCAATTACCTGATGGATTTGTTTCAAAAATTAAAATTTTACTCTCCAAATTAAATGTTTCTCATGTTTGGGAACATCAATGTACTTTTTCTAAAAGACGATTACTCCCAGCTTTAGCAAAGAAGCTTCAGGAAAGTTACAATACATTTTGGAAAAATAGCCTTTTTAATGATGACAATTCAATGAATGGAAATAAACTAAGAACTTATAGAACATTTACAGTAAAGTATAAACTTGAAAAATATCTTTTATTAAATCTAGATAAAAATATTATTAAAAACTATGCTAAAAAAGGAAAAAGTAACAGCACGCTAGGTATTGAACGTGGTAGGTATAATAAAACAGCTTTAGAAAATAGATTTTGCCCCCTATGTAATATAGAGGTGGAAGATGAATTCCATTTTGCAATAATGTGTACACAACTCAATTACTCTAGAATGAAAATGTTTAATGAAATTTATGATATTGTTCCTAGTTTTACTACAATGAGTTATGGGGAAAATCTAATTTGATTTTCTCTTGTAAAGAATATGATATTTTGATAATTATTGTTAATGGCATTAATGAGATGTATAATTACAGAAACAATGTTAGCAATTGTGTATGAACTGTTGATTTTACATGTATATCTTGTTTTCTTTACTATAATCTAAAATATGAATGGATAAAATAGTGAAGCAGCATTTCTTCTAAATATAATAATCTTAAGCTAATGTAAAGGGGAGGTATGTCGTCTAACATTTTAATATTTTTTGTGAATGTTACATATTTGTATTCATTTTTGTTTATTGTTTATTTGTGTTTGTATTTAGTATCAATCCGATTGTTTGGATTTTATACTAATAAAATATCTTATCTTATCTCATATTTTATATTAACAATTCTTTGATGAAATTAAATTTCGAGTATTATTAATATTGTGCGACTTTCCTCTTGTAGCATTAATAAATAAAGACCTGCGCCATGAGCGCATGATACACTTGTCGACAACTGGACAGTCTTCGACAATTTTTCAACTAATAAAGTTCTTTAACTCCGCAATGCCATATCATTATCTATAAAAAAAACACAAACACAAAAGGGAGCTTATTTCAATAGACATAAACAAGTCACCAAAGTTACATGATAACTGTTAAAAGCGTTTTTGAGTTATTGTTCGAAATACTGGAAAATCCCCCTTTAAAAAAAAATAAAGTCCCAATACTCCAAAACGTAAAATCAGAAATTTTTGAAAATCTAAAAAGAACTTATATCAATACATTTAAACAATTCACCAAAGTTTCAGGAAAATTATTCAAAGCATTTTTGAGTTATATTAAAAAAACTGGATAATCCCCCATTTTTATGTATAAAATCCCATAACACGGAAACGTAAAATATAAAATTTATAAAAAACTTAAAGGAGCTTACGTTAATAGATATAAACAATTCACCAAAGTTTCATGATTTTTTTTTTAGTTATTGTCCAACATGTTGACGACGATCCGACGGAAGGACGGACGGACGGACGGACAACAGTATCCACATAAACGTAGTCATCCGACACAAATTATTTGAAAAATAATGAATCTCTAACATAGATTTAAATTCGTAATGTTTATACTTACATTATTAATAGTTCTTGTCGTTTCTACGTCACAAGTGAAATCAAAAACAGGATTCTTAAACCCATCATTGGCCCCCAAATCTAACGGTAACAGGTCGAGTTTTGTTATGTCCACTCCATCTCGCAGCCGACTTAAAAATGGTGGAATATTTCCACAATTTTTAGCTAACAAAATATTTGGTAGAATAGAAGCAAAGATAAGAAAACTACGGCTACGAATCTCCATCGTCTAAAACGAAGAAGATGGGTTTAAAAGTTCATGTGTAAAAGTTGAAATTTGTTTTTATATCCGGATGTTAAAGGAAGTGAAATTGAACTTAAACAATTGAGTCAGAAATACAATACACCAATTGGACAGCTATCAATTATAAGTACACACCTTTTCACAAGGAAGTGTTTATCATTTCTTTAAAGTTTGAAAATTTGAAGTAGTTACTTTCTAAAAATAAGTTCCCACGCTTAGGAAAAGTATTCTACCTACTGTTATTAACTTGAAATCGTTCACAGTTTTACACACTAAATGTGACAAACGACAACACATCTTAATTAACCTTGTCTAAAATTCATATAAGGAGTTTAACGGAATATAAAATCCGATTCCGTTATATTCAGCTTCATAGGTGTTAAAATTACTATAAATTATAAAAGTGATTATTAAAACTAAAAACTGAAAAAGACATATAATTTAGTTGCTAGAAACTGAATTTTCTTTTTCAGAGTACCAATTTACATGTAAGAAATATATAGATTACACAGGGGATATGTGTTTGAATGACAAGAATGTCATGTTATACAAGAAATAATCAATTCATTGAAGAAACAGCGCGTATTTCTGTTTGTCGTTTTGCGTTCCTTGAATAGGATTTCGACAGTGAACACCTCACACTTTGCAGCGAGACCAAAACGACCTCTAGCGTCGACCTGTGTTGTTACGGTGGGTCTCAACATGAAGTTTTGGGTACAGACGCACAGCTGTGATTTCAAAAACATTCCTATTCATATATCAAATCAAAGTTTTGTGAATATCATGACCCATACATATATTTCATCGCGAAATCATAACCCATTCATTATTTCTCAGTTATCAGATTTTCAATTTTTGACATCTTACTTTGGTTGAAAACGACAAAACGGCGCATTTATACAAAAATCTAATCGAAAGATAAAAATTACTGACCCAATGACATTTCGCCTTGGTGAAACTGCAACCCATTGATATATTTGAAGTATCAAAAAAGAGACCCATTCCAGCGGAACGTCGTTGATACTTTCAAACAGGAAGATATCCCCCTCCCTTGTGCGTTGTATTCTTTGATATTCTTTGATAACTACTGGAACATACTTTGAGAACACGAGGATCAAGGTAGGATAAATCTTACATGCATTTGAATAATGAGATGTGGATTGATAACCGATGAGACAACAATCCACCAAAGAAATTAAATCAAATACTTTGAAAAAAGTAAGTCTTTAAGGATTGTCTTTCTGTGTGTCGTGTCCTTGTTGACCCATTTTCTGAATTGTTACTCTATTTTATAATTAAAGAAGTGGCTAAGAGTTGGTGAAAATTTACACTAGGCTCATTTTCAAAAGTTCTTCGACTTCACTAAAATAAACAACATCGCAACTTCATGTGTGTACATTTAGACTGTAAACACATAAAGTCGTATATCTGAAATAATAACTAAATACTACACGCGTAAAGATGGCTTTAGAATTTAAGTTTTTTTTTTGTTTTTAAACTTTTACAAATTATGAGCATTTATGAAAAGAAATGCAATACGATGAACACTGTTAACAGATGAAAAATATACCTCGAGCTCTGGAAAACAACTGAAATATTCCTAACTCGGTACAGCCATTTTCCGAAGAAAATGATGGGTTAAACCTGGTTTTATAGCTAGCTAAACCTCCCACATGTTAATACATGTTAATACATAACAGTTGTTTATATTTCCGTTATATTGACAAAATTGGGTAAGCAACCCGAACTGACATAATAGATTAATGTGACAATAATTGGGATTCTACGGAAGCCGATAAGGGCCATTCAAAAAAAAAGACGTCAACAAAAACAGTTTTTGTAGTTGATATTAAATTTGACAAAGACTCAAACAAAAAAGTTTTGTAGATGATAGTACATACAGTATATAGTAAATTGTCTCGATTAAGTACAAATTAAGTAAAATATTATGCAAGGATAAACAGAATGAAATTAGCACAGTAAAAACCTCTTGTGTCCGAATCACACCTCTGGATCCACCTGCATCAGGAACGCCTAAAACCAAAAACCAGATAGCTGGATGCATAACAAACCGAGTCACGTCAAGAGTCATACGACCAAAAGGAACATAAAAGCACGACAAATAAATGAAAGCTGTAAAGGTAATAAAATGAAACAACTTCAGCACCCAGAATCTATAACTCGAGACAATCTTGTATTATTTGTGAAGTAGATACTGAATATTTATCTATTATGTCTTGGTACTTTTCAATGAACCTTTTAAGAAAAAGGTCGAGACGCTCTCTAGCATGAACCTGGCTCATTCCAATCTTTTGCTCTGATACCAAAGACGTTCTACAAAAGTCTGAGTAGCAGCTGCACGCTCTTTAATATCGTATGAAATGTATAATCCATACGAAGTGAAGTTTGTATATTACTGCTCAGGTGAGGAATATCTATATTTTGAAAATTAAAACCGTCTCGTTTGTCATATAGATTCTGGTATGAGATAACTGCTGTAGTCAAATTCGAGTCTAAAAATGAGGCAGAGGAAGCTGTATATGTTGTTTCTTTAATATCTAGTTCATAATGATATCTTAATGGGACCCAATCAGAAAAGTTTTGAATGTTAATAGAAAACAAATCATCAGTATACCTGGATATGCAATTAAATGATCTAGCTTCTTTAATCTTCTTGTCTTTTACAAGTGTATGAAGGTTCTCCGACTCATATGAAAATAAGAAAAGGTCGACCAGGAGAGGTGCACGCACAGTTGGTTCCCATAGGAATGCCGACAACCTGCAGGAAAGGTCTACCTCCAAATTCAACAAATATGTTGTCAATGAGAAACTCCAGCATACTGATCACTTGTTTTTCGGTGTAGCATCTTTTATTTTCGGGCCGAATTATATCCAATAACAATGAATTTATAGCGTATGGTATCATTTTTATGGAGGAAAGTATTGTGGATTATTTCTTTAAGACGAGGTTTTTAATTTTTCAATGATATGGTGGTGTAATGGTGGAAAAATCGAAAAAAATGACCGAGATATAATATTTTCCAGAAGTTCTTTTGAGTTTTTATGAATCCACATATGGTTAATGCCACTATAAGAGTAAACAGTTAAGGAATGCCTTGTCATGTACTGATACAAGTAAGTCTATTTTGATTATAGAATGATGTCTTTCGATTAAACAAATACAAATACTTTCAAAATTTTCAACTTTGTATTTTGTCTTCAACAGCAATGTATAATGCGGAAAAACACATTTTGATTTTATGGATATCTATAAGTTATTTTAATGAAAAGTTTTTATTCAGTCTTACACGTGTTTTTAGGCTACTTTTGATTATTCTTTCCCTCGGTTTCTGAATAGTTTAAGGATTCTGAATCCATGATTGAAACGTGAAATAATTTTTGTCATGAACGTTGCACGAAAAATAAAAACTTTGATTAAACCTTTTGTGACTGAGTCACTGTCCTCTTGTATATACAAACTCTCTGTTTTACTTAATATTCCGGATTAAGTATACACATTTATGATATAAATGGTGTACGGCTTTTAAAAAAGTATATAACGATCTTCTTAACTTTTTTTAAATGCAAATAAAGGAACAACATCATAGGCCTTTCTGCTTTATCGAAAACCAAAATTCAATCATTTTTTTTTACTTGACGATCCCTGTCTTGTGTTTGAAATTTATTTGAAAAGTACCGAGCACGCAAAATAAGCATTTGAAATTCACGATGCACGTAAAATTAAATAAGCAGAACACGTTGAACGAGGCACCTGTCTTGCACGACTGAACGTCAATTAAAAAAGTAAAAACACGTTGAACGTGAAATAAAAAACGGCGATCGCGTTGCACGAAAATAACCCTTTACCACCCTCTTATATATCTCAAGTAAATGGTTTTTTTTTCATGTAACGTGACGTCATACATATTAGGGGTTTGATAAAGCCTCTGCAACGCAGTTGACTGGTGTCAATGACGAGACGTCGTACAGATTAAGGGTGTGATAAAGCGTTTGCAACCGTGACTGATATCAATATCATCACGGATGGCTGATACAGCACGATTGCCATTGATCGTATTACACATACAATTTACATTTATTTACTACAAAGTATATAATAAATATATTCTCATATACTTAGAGTAAATAAGTTATAATTTTTACAGTATGATAATAGCATTAAATACTATTAAATTCCATATTTTTCGAATTGGTGCTAAGCGGGCTGATATGAAAAATTTATCACATGCTTCCAGCTATTATCACATGCCTTTCCGTAACGTTATCGCATGGCATTCCGGCGTTACTCGGCAAATTCCGGAAAATACATCTCAATGGTACGTTATTAGTGAAAAACATAACAAAGTAGGGTACAAAACAATTATTAGGAAACAGGAAAATATACTATGTAAAATGCAAAAAAAAAAAAAAAAAACAAATGATACAATAAATGCATTTTTTCAAAGTTTCCAGCATAATTTAGAAAGTTACTTTACAAATGTTGACCTTTCCAAACAGTGTTCATTATGTTTTGTTGAATTTTTTTTTATCGTCAATATAAAAATATATTATACTGTGGTTTTTCCCCTCTGTTGAGGCATATGGTAGAAAGATTTCATATCGGATGTATTACATTTGGCGTCCGACGTCCGTAAACTTTTCATTTTTTGAACTTCTACTTGAGAACCACTTAAAAGGATTAATATATAAAACTTTTATTTTTCTCTATTGTTGAAGCATATGATAAAAATATCATAACATGTCATTTTTCATATCAGATGGATTATCAGCCCTCGGTCAAAATCAGCCCTCGAGCCTTCGGCTCTTGGGCTGATAATACATCTGATATGAAAAATGCCATGTAATAATCTGATAATATACCACACAACAGGCGCTGCCTACAAAGAGAGGCGAAAGATATCAAAGGGACATTCAAACTCAAAGTCGAAAATAAACTGACAACGCCATGGCAAAAAAAAAAGACCAACAGACAAACATCAGTACACAAAACACAACATAGAAAACTAAAGACTGAGCAACACGAACCCCCACCAAAAACTGTGTGATACAAAAATGCTCAGTATAGCATAATAGAAAAAAACAAAGGATATGAGTATCCATCCATGACACAAAATCAGTACATATTTATTTAGAAATACGAACACGTAAAAAAATTATTTCATAAACAAAATATTAAGGAGGATAAATAAACTCTAAAATTTGAAATATACAAAAGACCCTTGCTAAACTGAATTCGTCAAAATCCATATGAAAATGATACCGAATTCGAATGTCTTAAAATCAATATCGTGACCTTAATATTACGCAACCAGACATAGAAGTGCTTTACAGTAAATTTTTCCAGTTGATAACATTCAAATTCTACATAACAACTGTATAAGGATACGAATAAAAGGAGATATGGGGGATAAATCAATGAGGCAACAACCAAACGACACAGACAAACCAAACGACATTGATTTCATATTTATATCAGTTGATACGATATTCCATGGCTTGCTTTTCCTATCGTGATTGCTTTGATGGTTACTGGTTACACGAAATCTACCGAACCGTGAGTTCATGATTATAAAGTTATCGTTTCGAACGCCACCATGCTATTGGTTTGTCCTTACGGAATATATCAGTCTGATTAAAATCATACCTCTCACTTGCTATCGTTTATTTATCATATCAGAAAACGGAAGCGCTGAGCGGTTTGATATTTAATCAGGCTGGAAACATATATGTTCAACTTGTCATAGCCATAATATTGTCGTCTTTTCCATGCTTTCAGTGACATAAACAAATATGACTTGATATACGATTTTTGCTTACCATGATCAACACGAAGGATGTCACCGGTCGATCATAAACTGGTTGATCTTTCGGAGTACCTGAGTTCACATTTTTTTTGGCGGAGTTCGTATTGCTCAATATTTATTTTTCTGTATAGGTTTTTTTTCTTTGTGACATATCATTGTCTGTCTATCTAAATATAAAAATAGGGAGATGTGGTATGATTTCCAATGAGACAACTATCCACCAGAGTTCAAATGAAGTGGTATAGTAAGCAATCATATGCCACTGTATGGCCTCCAACAATGAGAATACCCCATACGGCTAGAAAAGACACCGGCATGAAAAATGTGAAACAAATCAAACGAGAAAATTAACGGCCTAATTTATAACAAAACAATTTACGAAAAACAAATATGACAGACATGAACCAACAACAACTACTGTACTACAGGATCCTGACTTGGGACAGACACATAAAGAATGTGGCGGGGTTAAACATCCCCCACAACCAGGGGCAGTGGTACAACAGCACAATATCACGACGCCAGAAATCAAATACAGGATCCTAACATGGGACAGACATATATAAAATGTGGCGGGGTGAAATATGCTTAACCATTCCCTAACCTGCGACAGTGGTGTAACAGCACAACCTAAGAACAAACTGTAAAAATCAGTTGCAATCGTCTGTTTTTGTATACTTAGGCTACACTATGACAGGTGTGTCATTAGTTTGTTACAGTAGGCCCTTCCAAAAATGCCTCTTGCATGCGTAACCTAAATCCGGATTTATCAAAGATAATACTAAAAACCTATACAATGTCCAAACAAAAACGACACATAACTCACTTTAACGAAGATAGATGAAAGAAATTTGATATTAATTCTAAATGCATTTACACATTTCACAATAAAGATTTCGGGGTTATTTTCTCTCTTTCGTGGTGTGCATTTATTGAGACGAAGCTATTATAAGCAATAATATGGTGTCAGTCAATCATTTCATTTATTGTTTTTAAAATGAGCAATCAAATTTAGGATTGATTAAAAGCACTAATATTTAGTATTAAATAACAAAAAGTGTCTTTTTAGGTGACCTTAATGCCCCATCTCATCTGACATCCACCTCTACGATCGTCGGTATCATCTAGGTAGACTGTTGTATACGAGTTTGCACTGGCGCATAATTTCCTCTGTACACCTCCGCCACACTGTCCAATGTCATTATCTGGGTACCATTCGAAACAGATTTCAGCATTTTGCATCCAAAGAGGTGCACTTGACGGAACAGAAAGCATCCATTGCATCTTACAACCATGAGCCCTGTCATCTGAATCATCCATATAATATCTAGTGTAGCTATTGATACTTCCACATAAGGTGTTTGGAATATGGACTCCACACTGGTCTCTATCACCACCAGCGGACCATTTATAACATATCTTTACGTTTCTAAACCAGTCGTCGTAACCGCTAGAAAAAAGACCCCATCTCATAAAGCATCCACCCTTTCGATCATCTGTATCGTCTTGGTAATACTTTGTCATTTGATTAACCTCTGCACACAAATGGCGTGCAGCTTTCCCGCCGCATTGGCCTCCATCTCTTCCCGCGTACCATTCGTAGCACAGTTTAGTTCTACGAAACCAGTCAGGAACTATCGTCGCATGTTCAATAGTATTGCCAAGTATATCGTTATTTTGTTGTGGTCTGGTAAATTTTGATGCAAAAGAACATGTGCTTGATTTTTATAGTTGTTTAGAATACTTCGGTTCCGGTCCCATTTTCTGGTCGAATATAACTTTGAAATGACACGAAGCAATTCTCTAAGGTAAGCCTTGTCTGTGTAAACCTTCGAATAAATAAATAAAGATGATCGTTAATAATACGTATTTTTTTCTATGTTTTGGCTTAAAAGACTTTTTTTAAATCCAAAGAATCCTTTGTTACCCTAAGCATAGTTCAGATGACGTCATGTATTCTGCTAGCAATTATTGATATATAACTACCCCAAATGTTAATGATTCGTTATGAACACTGTGTCTAAACTACCCCTGCAAAAATTGTTTGGTGACGGACCATCAACAGACCGAGAAAAGATAGGATTTGTGTTTATTTATTTGTTGTTTTCATGATATCGAAGAATATACATACACATATAACTATTTTCGATTGTGAGATGTAATATTTTCTACAATCGTTCTAGATTAATGGAGAAATTAGTAAAAAGGCACATCAAAATGGTGAATTGAGTGAACCTTGCCTCGAAATTTGTTTAATTTCTCTTTAACTTGTGCACATTGTACGGAAAAAGGGAAGGAAAGAAAGATATCAACACGGAAATTGCAAGACTAGTCACTATGAGCACCTCGATATTTGTATTTCTGTGCATGGAACGAAAGAAATGGGTAATGTCAAAATTGAAGGACCAAGTTTTGTCAATGTGTACATCCGGTTTTGTCCTAAAATTTCACAAAGCAGACCCGGTTTTGTTATAGACAATAATGCATAATCGCATGGCGTTCAACAGGAGTTTGAGGGCTCGTTGGAAAACAATTTCTTTCAGAGGATAACTTATAATCGTTTTGAATCCGTAAACACTTGAATTCCTGCTTTATTGGAACAAAAATAATTTTTAATTTGTTTTGTATACTTTTTTAGTAACAACAGACAAAAGAACTATGTCAATTGGACCTACTTTGATACGATAACTGCCCTTGAATTTTTACTAGATAACATTTTTGTTCGCTATGGAGATTCCGTATATCGTCAAGTTATCGGAATTCCAGTGGGGACTAACTGTGCACCACTTATTGCGGACCTGTTTCTGTATTGTTATGAGTTACAATTTATGACGAAAATCAGCAAAGACCCATCGAAATAACATCTGATACAAAAATTTAATAACACTTTTAGATATTTGGATGATATATTGGCTCTCAATACTGACGACTTCAGTATGTACAAAAAAGAGATTTATCCTGCTGAACTGAATTTAAATAAAGCTAATACTAACAATGAACACTGCCCTTTCCTGGATCTTGAAATCTATATCTTTAACGGGAAGCTTAATACCAAAATTTATGATAAAAGAGATGATTTTTTTCATTTCCTATAATTGTTAATTATCCATTTTTAGAATGTGACGTTCCCTTGTCACCATCTTATGGTGTTTATATATCTCAACTTGCTCGATTCGCTCGTGTATGTAACAACGTATTTGATTTTAACGAAAGAAACCTCTGTATTTCTGAAAAATTATTACACCAGGGTTTTCGATATCACAAACTAGTTAAAACATTTACTAAATTTTATCATCGTTACAAGGACATCATTCGTAAATATAAATCAACATGCAGACATCTTATACGTTCAGGCATTTCACATCCAATCTTTTATGGTAATATTCTATACAAAGCACAAAAATGTCGACATTCACCTAAAAAGCTAACCAAACCTTTAAACAGAAGGGATATAGTTACGATACTGTTGTCAGGTCATTAAAGATGGCATATTTTTGGTATTAATATTGATTCACTTATAGGGTCTTTGCATCGGAAATAAACACATTTATTCTAAAACCAGCTGTTGGCATGAAAGACATAATCTTTCAATCAGTGTAATTGAGGTCTGGAGCTGGCATGTCAGTAACTGCTAGTAGTCCTTTGTTAATTTATGTATCATTGTCTGTTTGCTTAGTTTCTTTTGTTACCTTTTCTGACATCGGACTTGGACTTCTTTTGAACTGAGTTTTACTGCGCGTATTGCTGTGTGTTTGTTTATTCTACATTGGCTAGAGGTATAGGGGGAGGGTTGAGATCTCACAAAACATGTTAAACCCCGCCGCATTTTTGCGCCTGTCCCAAGTCAGGAGCCTCTGGCCTTTGTTAGTCTTGTATGTTTTTTAATTTAAGTTCATTTATATGTTTTGGAGTTTAGTGTGACATCCATTTTCATTGAACTAGTACACATTTTTGTTTAAGAGCCAACTGAATAGATATAAGTAGATGTGGTATGAGTGCCAATGAGACAACTCTCCATCCAAGTCAAAATTTATAAAAGTAAACGCTGCATTGAAGACCTGTTGGTGACCTTCTGCTGTTGTCTGTTCTATGGTCGGGTTGTTGTCTCTTTGACACATTCCCCATTTCCATTCTCAATTTTATTATCATTATAGGTCACAGTACGGTCTTCAACACAAAGGGCCCTAAAAATTACTAGTGTAAAACCATTCAAACCAGAAGCCCGCCTCCGGATGCGGGATTTTCTCGCTGTGTTGAAGACCCATATGTGGCCTTCGGCTGTTTTCTGCTCTGTGGTCGGGTTGTTGTCTCTTTGACACATTCCCCATTTCCATTCTCAATTTTATTTAACGGGGAAATACAAAGAAATGAAGGTTTTGTAACGCATTTTGATTTTCTTTTTATCAATTATGCAAATTTATAAGTGTTCAAACTTGGATAGTGTACGGCCTTGAAAATTGGAGGACGCACATTTGATATATGATTTTCTGGGACAACAGGATGGTTATCTTAATAATAACAATTCCACTCTACCTAGGAGGGGGAGGGGCAGTATGACCGTTTGGAAGGAAATATTCTGAACACTTAATGTTCATTATAAAGCAAGAGAATAAGACAAATGTATATGCATGCAGAATCGCCATAGAAAATGAATTTCCATGCGGCGCTAATGATCACAATAATAATGCGTTAAACATATTTTTACCCCTCCTTGTAACTATAATACTAAGTATAAATTAGTTTAATAGTTTCAGGCCATTCAGAAATTACAATAATGAATATTTCATTAATAATTTTATCTCTTCATTGTGTAATGATGATCGTACATTGACCAATGTTCTACATTTTAGTGACGTTGGTCAAGTTTAAAATTGTCAATATGCAAGGGCGGAGCGAAGATTTTTGAAAAGGGGCGTAATTCCATAAAAACGGATTACATAAATTTTTTTTGGACGATTTTATGATAAAAAAATCATTTATAAATCGTGAAAAAAAACCCGTGATATAATATTTATTTCTAGCCATAAAAAAAAAAAGGGGGGGGGGGTGCTCCCTCTACACCCCCTGACCCGCCACAGATATACTATAACTATGTCGTATATCATCATAAAATTTAATGAAAACAGAGACATCCGCCAACTTTGAGTGCCAATCGCTCATTTACTATACAGGCTCTGTAATTAAATGAGGTAAGCCTTTTCAACTTATTTTTATATATATAGTTTGTTCTTATGTTGTGCTGTTATACCACTTTTCTTTGGGGGGGGAGGTGGCACTAACACGTTCAACCCCGCCAATTTTTTTGTGCCAGTACCGACTCCAGGAGCCTGTTATTCAGTGGTTGTCTTTTGTGCTTTAAATCATATTTGTTTTTCGTTTTTTTTTGTACAGAAATCAGGTCGTTAGTTTTCTCGTTTGAATTATTTTACATTTTTCATTTCGGGGCTTTTTATAGCTTTCTATGTCGTATGGGTGTTTCTCATTGTTGGATGCCATACGATGACCTATATTTGCTAACTTTTACGTCATTTGGTCTCTGATGGATAGGTGTCTCGATGGCATTTTTCACGGGCTAAATGGCATTCCACTTTAATCGAACTTTGGTGGATAGTTGTCTCATTGGCAATCATACCTCATCTCCTTATTTTATTTTTTGCTTAAGTTGTTCGTAATAAAACGTAGATATTGGGACGTTATTATGTTGCAAACCAACTTTCAAGAAATAATTCTTTCATGCCATGCTCTATGCTCATTTTAACATGGGTAAGCATTACATTTGGTAATATCTTTAGACCAAGTGTTAGTGAGGTATAAAATGTTGACAAATATAATGCCTACCCATATTAAAATGAGCATAGAGTATGGTTCGATTCTAATAGTAAAGTTTAGAACTTGTGTACTTCGAAGCAGACCTAAAATACACGTTCGAAAGGCAACCGTTTTGATTTGAGGTAGCCAAAACGTTCTAGAAAACCAACCGTGTCAAGATAAAAAATTTAACAGATACATGTAAACTTACTTTCAAAATGATTTTATTTAATTTCCTAGCAAGCAACACCAACACGAATGTCCATTTTGATCTCCGGCGTAGTTCAATATACAACTGGCGTTGCAATTTCAATTGTGACGTCAATCACACGCATCCCATGTTCTATTGGAATTAGAACATGGCTTTGATTCCAAAGCGAAAGAAGAACGCCATATTAGAATCATATATGAAATACATAATTGTTATTTATTTCAAATGTTAACTTGAAGTTTCCTTAGAATTTGAATTGTGAATTTGAGGGAAAGTTGAAAATACCAGAAAATTTAGCGGAATTGCATGCATTATTAATTCGTGCAGAATAGTATAGACTAAAGTAATTTTCTGACTGTCCGTCAATGAATGAATGAGTAAATGATAGTAAATATATTGTAAACATAGCGTATAGTATAGTAAAGCATACTAGCTTTACTCTTTTGATAAATTGATATGGTAACACAATCATACCACATCTTATTTTTACATCACTACATACTAGTATAGAAAACAAACAATAATGTAAGTGCATGCTATAAAGTATTTATTTCCATTTAAACTTAGTTCGAAGATAAGTGCAATAAAGTATACGTAAAGTATTCGAAAAATGTCTACTGCCTACTTCGAAAAGTTCCCGTTTAAAATAAATTTTAACACGACAGGTTTGTATTGCATTAACATCTATGTGAATTTCTTCCGACGAACAATGTTCAGATCCGTGTTAATGTTGCTTTTCATAAATTTGTGGTTTCAAAACAAAACAAAGCCGGGTCCTATACTGAGATAAAACCGGGTCCTTATGTAGTAAACATTGACAAAACGGGTCCTTCAATTTTGACATGGCCCATTTCTTTCGTTTCATGCACAGAAATACAAATATTGAGATGCTCATAGTGACTAGTCTTGCACTCTCCGTGTTAATATCTTTCTT